GAAACTTCGACTTATGGCGAACAGTTAAGTGAACGATTCTTCAAGTTTCGATTTTTCTATCGTTTCTACTATCCGTTACTTTCATGACAACACAATGACATTTCTTTCATACTCGGAAGTAACTTTGGATGAGTCAACTTTGAAATTAATCACTCGAAAGCCTCAAAGAATTCAACTCATTCTAAATATTCCAAGGTTCATTCATGGAGTCTCGCTTTCTTGGATTCATGTAAATCTACATTTTTTTTGATTCATTGGCCCCTCTGAGCCGATGTCTTCGACCTGATGGTTTGCAACCCCTTTGGTGCCAATCCATCGCTACTTAAGTGCATCGGTAGTCCGTCAGTGAGGCGATTTAGTCAACGAAAGCAGACTCGAGCTCCACGCAGTGGAGTGAGGGCCATTTATATTTGTGCTTTCTATTTCTTTCAAACTTGACCAGTGGCCTTAACTACTGTCCACGCTTGCCAGGCATTCTGGACAGATAGTTCCTTTGCCAATCATCCCGTCTAAATGGGATTCGAGATGACCTCTGTGCAGCTTGGCCCGCTTGTAGGTTTTGCTGATAGGCTAGGGCACAACCACCCCTTGCTTCAGTGGTATTTCCGAAGCTATGTCCCATCCCAAGGAGGGCATGTATACAAGAATCTCTTCTCAGTCTTACAGCTTCTTATTTTAAATATGTAGCACGCAAACACAAAAAAATAACTGCAATGGAAATTCTGACCGTGGTTAACATTTGCGCTATGCACTCTCGATGCTCTCACATAGTTAAAACTGTCCTTGTTTCCGCACTGAGGTTCTATAACTCCAACCGCTCGCTGATTCGTCATCATTTCGAGGTGAAAATTCATCACTCTCTAGTCGCAGCGCACTTGATGCAGAGGTTTCACTCTATCTGTCACAACGCTCAATTAAAACCTTTATTTCCTGCCATTTCCTTTGTTCATTCTGAAGGATCATCTTGTGTGAATCAGTCGGCTTTGAGGTACTTCCGGTACTAGGTGCCCGCTCTGATGATCGACACCTGTATTTTCCACTGGCTGCGCCTTTATTGTTCCATTGTGCAGAGACCAGCGCGTACGGTACATTCATTTCTTTGATTGGCCCGAACTTCAAAGCGTTTACACCGCGATAAGCGCATTGGGCACCTCCGCAAGAGCGACCGGTTACTTCCGACCGGTTCCGACTGTAATTGGCTGTTGCAGTAGTATAGCAGTGGCAACACTTGTGGTAGGTGTTATGCCGTCTGAGTTTGTCAGAAGATTTGGCCATCAAACTGCAGTTCCTTATCTAGCAGTAAGGGACATTATTAATCTATGCATTTCATCGTTAATGAAGCAATGCTCTGTGCATTCGCTTTCTGAGAACAATGTTCCTTTTTCCTGTAACTGTTGTTAACTGTTGTTGGTGCTACTTCTGCCATTATCACTGATTTAGCCGGCTCCAGTGACGACCTGGATCGCTGCTGCTTAATGTATGCCACGATAATCAACCAATCCTTCTTGCAACATCTGTACCCTTACCTGCCGTCGCTGACAGGATTTGAACGCCTGCTGTGACACTGTGGCGCCAGGTCTTTCAGACTGACTGATAATCAATTGTTGACGATCATAAGTAACTATTTCGAATGTCGAAACTGTTTCCAAATATATATGGTGTCGTGATAGAACGCTAACTTCTGCTGATAGCACTAATAATTTGGCTAAAGCCGTCATCATCTCGTTTTCCACTTGCTTGTCCAAGTGAAACTCTCTAGGCACATTCAGATGTTGACTTACTGCGACCACCATAAATCTCTCCTGCAAGACAAACCGACTCATTGGTACGTCGTTTATGACTCAAGCAGAAGTTTGGTCATGACGTGCACTTTCGAAGCTAATGTTAGATGACGTGGATCGGTCATTGCAGCAGCGTTGGAATGCTGACACCTTACCAGATAAATGAGGTATGATCCTGACAATCCACGGACTGCATTAATGGAATTGCGGAGAAGAAAGTGATAATCAGTGACATGTCAATGCATAAACAACAACAGGATTTTCATCTTGCACTGATTATTACAATGGAAAAATGGATAGTTAACGATCGTTTGTATCGAGCCGAAATGCGGCCCAAGGGAGATGCATGCATGGTCACAATATGTTCTCACTTTTCACCCATTTCTGTGTGACCACACCAGCCAGAACACAATTTTGTCCCTGTTGTTAATGAGTCAACGAACTGTTCCTCGTCTGCTTGCACAAAGGCAAAATGTTGTAAATTCCATTCTCAGGGGATTATTAGTTAATGTAAATTTTTTTCAGTTTCGATCCCGGATAAGTGTAATTGACGTGGATTCCCTGCTGCAAATCGCTGGCACGCGTGGCGACATGATCTGCAGTTCAGATATCCAAGAAAGCCTTAATTTACAGCGTGTTTCTCTAACTTGTGAATCTACAGCTACGATTGTTTGGGCAAGTGTTGTGAATGCTTTTAGACAGGAAAGCGAAACAGCTACTAAAAGTTGAACACTGACGGCTGAAGACCCGGAGGCACGGCCAAGAATAATCTGAAGGAATTTTCTTGAAGGAGTCTGCTCCAAATTCGGGTAACATTCTGCTCAAGCGCTGTCACGTGATCAGGAACATCGAAGATAGTGCCTGATGAGTCTGACTCGGCAACTCGGTAGGATAAATGGTCATTAGAGCTGTCTGACTAAAACGTTTTATAGAGATTCGAACTCAGTACAGCCGAAGTTCCAAGCTGCTACCATACCACTGTGCCATCGTCCAAATTGAGAGAGGAAAGTGTTATTATGTGCCATGAACTTCACCTTGAATTGAACAATATTCTCATGTGCCTTTATCCAAAATAACCGGAAGTCTCTCTGATTATCATGAAAATGGATGCTACACAGCGGGTAACTGTCAGGACATTGACCTTTGATGTTCACAGACTTCAGATGACACGCTTTCTACCCCATCTAATGAGCTACCTCAACCTAAGCAATGACAGATTAGTATGAATCCTTGAAAGATAAGATTCGCTTTTTCTTTTTGCCAGGCGTGAGTTCATCGCAAAAACAGTATAAGACTGCAAATTTTATTATCATGATTTATATTCATTTATTTCTGCGTTCGATTAAACCTTAAAATGCCGGCTGCATGATTAGACCACGCTTTCTATGCCTGGTCACTTTCGCACAATTTCGACGCAAACAACTGATTTCAAATTCTTATAAAATTGTTCTTATTGTTGCTGATGATAAATATTGAACTAAATTTGCAGAAACATATGTGAAATACGGCGTAATCATTATGGAGGCATAGTCAAGCAAAAAAACATTGAAAAGTGCGGTAAAAGTTTTGAGCTTCCTGGCAAAGACTTATTAAAGCGCAGAGACTTATGAATTTCTGACACAACTGAGGGAAATAAAATGGATGATGCTTGAACATATTGTGCTCAACGCAATAAGGTAATGCAAATTAGCATCAATGCACTGCAAATGTTGTAACATCTCTGAGTCAAAACCTGATTATAATGTCCACTAGGCTTCTAGAAGCAAAGAATAATGCCATTAACTTCGAGCAAATCTGGAGAGCCACTACTGGCATAGTGTAATATGAAGATCATATGGCACGTTCTTGATGTTTTTGACCATCTCTTTAGTCTGATATTGTGCCGCTTTATTATTTCCATTGCTTTTGTAAGGATTTTGCTCATTAAAAGCTGTGGAATCAGGTCAGCTGGTTCGAACTTATCGATCATTAACATACCGTAATGAAAATCACAGCGATTCCACCGTGTCATGGAACTGAGCAGTGAAAATCAGGCAAAACTTGTAGCGCAAGCTACTAATTCAGGTTCAGCATAACTGAAATAACGACTCAACAAGGCTAGAGAGAAAGCATCGGAAAATGAACGCATTTTTATGTTATGTCATGATTATCACGCGTAATCAAACCTTGCGTTACTGTGTAACCTCTGAACACAGTTCTTATGAGTGTCGTATAAATAACCAGCTCATATAAGTAAAATCAAGTATTTTATACCTGAGCGGACATCGGAAACTTATAAACTATAAATTACACTTTGTAAAGTCTAAATTCGACTTATATGTCAACGCTAAATCAGAAGATGCGGATCAAACAGCGTTCTGCATCTGATATAAATAAAAGAGGACGCGAAAAGTGTTACTGCATTATAAGCTTTCACATATCCCCGAATATTCCAGCAAAAGTTTTCTTCAAGCTTGTCATTGTGTCTTCGATGCCTAGAGACTCGTCCGTGCTGGACTGTTGGGACAGCTGTCTTCTAGGTCCTACCGGAGGTCGTGCCGGAGGAACGGGCGGGTTTGGCGCAGGTGGCAATGGAGGAACGGCTGAAGATGGCGCAGACTGCAATTTTTGCACAGAATCTTGCGCAATGAGGGAAGCTTCTCTCTTGACTGGACGAGCCGTCTCGTGCTTGATGTAGTTCTGAGGAGCTGCAGCTCCCATGCTTTCTTTTCTCCTAAAAGTATGTTTTCGTAACAGTCTTTTACTAGTACAGGTTTTTTGAGTAGGATGGTCCTCTAGAGACTTCGAATTCTGACTATGAGAGGAAAGATAATGAGAAGAAACTAAGAAAATGGTTCGATTAAATTATGGACGACCTGGCAGGAAGTAAAAAAGTGTAAAGAAGTACGAAGTAAGGCAAAGAAGTAAAAAAGTAAAAAATCAATAAGAATTACTACGATCTATAGCTGGTAATGAGGTCCTGCACGTTTCATGTTCAAACGATGATAATCGTATATTAATGAAA